TGAATATATATCCCAATTAGGATAATTATGATTGTATTTGTTATGGGATAATAATTCTTATTGGAATTTGATGAAATATAATAGGATTAGCTCCTGATTCATTCTGGGAAAACATATGATTCCCAAAAAGATGGACAAGTGTTTCCAGGATGGTAGTTCGATGATACTTACATGGACACCTCATATTTCCAGGTGTCCAACTTTTCTATATATGTTTTAAACAATTTCCACTTTATATATATATTTATGAGGTGATATATGATGAATAACAGCACCAATTCAATCATGACTCCATTGACTCCATATTTTCTTTTCCCATCGGTCGCGACGAATATTGGGGCCCCGTTTTGTTTGAGACGTCGATGGGGCGAGATGGATGAAATCAAGAGTCCAAACGCCATCCATGCCTGACCAATCGTAGGATGGCGCCATTCAGGACCCGTAGTCTGGGATAGCGACTTCAGTGGCTGACTCAAAATCTTGGTTTTGCATGTATTTTTTGGGGGGGCGTGAGAGATTCTATGTGTTTTCTCTCTCTCCTTCTCCCAATGGGAAATCCACTACTTGGGAAACGGGGAATACCCTCTGGTAAACTAACATAACTATGGAAAATGAGCATCTTTAATAGGAAAATCAACTATAAATTGCCATTTTCAATGGCACACTGTTAGTTTACCAGAGGGATCCAGAGTCTCAGAGGGTAATATGTATATTTTCCGTGGGTCCCTCAAGCAAATCCAAGTAATCGCCATCTCTCGCCATCTCCAAGGTCAGTGACAGACCCCATATGGGATTTACCGTAACTCCCCGAGAAAATGATCATGCTTTATATGGAAGATGATGGTAAACCAATGGATTTAGGTGATTTTGATGATTTGAAAGGGGAAAATGATGATAGAGCATCAAACTGTTCAAGTACCTTTTTTTCAGACGCCCAATTCACGGTTCTTGTGTCGCTGGCTGACAAGTCCATGGCATAAAATATTATATTTCACATGAACCTCAAAATGAAGATCGAAGTGTGAGAAAACGAACAGAAAGCAAATGATCCATTCCCTAAGCATCCAGCGTAGGCAAATATTTCATACATTCAGGTCCGTAGTCATATATCAATGACATACCCTATCATAAGGCCTCCGTAGGCCCCACAGCACTACATTCAAAATATATGATTCGATAAATACAAGTAGTTGTTCGATAAGTTGAGGGCCATCTAACCATACCCCCAGCAAGCTGGCTAACAAGAGATTTTTTGTCAGGCATTCAGACGCTTCGAGCGTGGATGTCTCACCCGGAGTAAGAATCGCAGCACCACCCGTAGCTCCAAGGTTTGTCCTCGCAGGTGGACAGGTAAGATCAAATCATCATCACTCGATTTTTAAATTTATCTCCCAAATAGTGGTCCAACACCTCTTAGAGCCAAGCTCAAAAAGAGTGAACAAAACTATATCACCAAGCATCTGTGAACTTTTCGTGAGACAGCCTTCATCTCGCCCATAAAATCTTCATCTTGATAACAATGTGATGCGCCTGTGCTTTAATTTTCATGTAGTGGAACCCCTACATTGAAATAACAGCAATTTTGCCCAAGCCTAAAACAAAATAGTTGTAAAACAAAACAACCATCATCAATCCAGGACACGGCAGTTTTCCAAAAATTCGCGCTGTTCGCGCAGTATTTCCATGAATGCCTTAGAAGACCAATAGGGGAGACACCTACCATGCACACATGAGGATTGACTAGGGATCTTCAACAAACAGTGTGTTCAAGATAATAAGGTTCACCACAAGACATGTTTGTGGGAAACGCTGGCAAGACACGTGCACCTTAGGGCGCAGCGGGTACCGCACGATCCCATGTTGAAGAAAGTAGATGTGCAACGCCTTGTAGGTCTTGCAGAACCTTTGCTCAAACATGACAGCTCCGCACCACAGTGGAGCCAGGTACAAGCATCTACCAAATGAATTTTGAAACCATTTAAACAAAACATTTTGTCATTGGATCAGATACTCCATTCCTGTGTCATAGAGGCGATCCCCTTGCTCCTGTGAAAGGTCTATAGGGCACATCTCCAGATCCAAACTCCAATTTGACAACTGTGTCATCATCAGGGTGCAAAGTTTCAACTCTTCACTTTGCTGAGAGGGATCCCGAGCATCGCAGGCAGTGCGCAAACAAATGGCCAGAAATGAGATCATGATTCGAGTACCGTAGGCTTTGAGTTTCAGCTCTCCACCCACGGCATCAAAATGACCAGTTGTGATAAATTGGGCTGCATACCTTCACAGCATATCGTTGGTCTAAGTTGAATATCCCCATGATCCCACACACACACATATATATATATGCCTATGCTGGATGCTTAGGGTATATCTCATAGAAAAAATCAAACACCTTTCTCAAAAGAGATATGTCACTGAATTCCGTTTGCTTGGATCCACCTGCGGAACCTCACGGTGAGCTCCTCCAACTGGTTGGACAATGTGTCCCGCGGCTGACCTGAAGCTGGCGTGACTCGACAACAAATATTATATGGTGTGTTTTGGGGTTGCCTCGAAGCTGAACAACAAATAATATATACATATATTATATATCAAATATAGGTTCAAAAAACTTGCTCAAACAAATACCTGGGGACCAAAGAACCCAAGGTTCAAAAGACATAGTAATGCCCCTCCATTGCAGAAATGCGCCAATCCCAGATGTAGCACGTGCATCATGCAAAAGCGTATGTTTTGGGGATCGAATCCCACCACAAATGATAAGGGATTTATAAAGTCTTTCCTGGGTTGATTTTAGTTTTTATATGCAACTCTTGGTGCAAGGTTCACCCCCTTTCCCAATAAAAGAAACAAAACAGGTCAGAAGTTCTGGGCAGGCCGGGTTTCAAAGCTCTGGTGAAAAACTGAGCGGTGTTCATCCGTGGAATTCTTTCGAACCTTTCAATATTGTGATGCCTTATGTTGGGTTTCCAAGCAGTAAATCAAGTCCATGAAAGCACATAATTTAGCACATGGTGGAACCAAAATAAATTATCAAAATGTTCCAAAACAGTACAACTTCTCAGGTACACGTGTGGTCCATGACCGCCTGTGGCAAAACATTTGAAACACACCCCGGCTTTCCACGTCCAATGTCTCCTCAAGTTCCATGATTCACGGTGCCACTTCCAATCCCCCCTGATCAGGGTAAGAAACATGTATTCTTAAAATACATTTCTACAGGGTTGTTGTTTTCAGAAACACTTGCCTGATCATTACAAGGGCATAGGGCCCACCATGCAGCTTTGATCCAGCTTTCGTTGCACGAGCTCCCGTGAAGGGTTGGCCAAACATGTCAACACTTGGGAACTTGCCAGTATAGGCAACCTCAGCTATGATATACCAGCTAAGAACTAAACGCTGGGGACCAAAAATAGATCTCACTTTGAAATTCGACCTAGAAACATTGAGGCTCCAGGCGATCACACGGAATAGTGGATCTAAGGTAGCCGGGCCCAGACACAATTCCCAGCGGAACGCCACCAAAAGAAGGCGATTGATATCCAAACCTGGCAGGGGGGTGGCAGTGTGGACATGGATGGTTGATATCCTAAAGTGGACGTACCCCAAAATCCCATTAAGAATATAAGTAATTTGGGGGTTCGCATCATTTTAGGAAACCTGCATATTAAAAAAAAAAAATGTATTATGTGTATATATATATACATACAGTATATCTATATACATATACATATATATATATTATATTTGCCAAAAACATGTTTAACCCAAAGCATGGTCATATTCTTGATTCATTAAGGGAATATCAAAACACCACTGTGTATGGGCAGCCTTCCGTGTTGATATCATTGGCTTGACTCCTCTTTGCCCTGTCAAGCAGCACCAGGTTGACACAAATGATGATAACTTTTGCGCCCCCAAGGGTGTATTTAGCATCGTCCCCGCTGATTCCCACAGGGTTGTGTACAGCCAATTCAGCAGCCGGATGGAAAGGCTTGAGCTCTGACCATCGTTTCCAAAACTGTTTGATGGCATCTGGGGACACATAGAAGCGATGGTTTTCAGCCAGCCAGTTGAACAACTCATGTGGAAGAATAACTGGAACTCTGATAGATGTAGTCTTATTACGATGGTGTGGGTCTTTGCAAGGAACTTCCACCATATACGGATCCTTAAGCGTAAGGTCATACTTCACCATACAAAGTAAATTTAAAGTTGGAGGGAACAGACCAACTAACAAAGATAAAACAACATGTTTATATTTGTTTCATGTAGGTGGTTGTTTGAAAAAAACATGTTAATAGGCCTAGAGTCCACAGGCAATGAAAGCAATCTGAACAAATCACGTTCCGCATTCCCTGGAAATCGGCCACTACAACCTATCTTCGCTATAGCCCGCGTCAATGAAGAACAATGCCCCCCTGACTCAGCAACACATGCAGCAGCCGCTTCCTGCAAGCCCGCACAGGTTGACGCTCCTCTGCCAAGCGTGGAAAGCAGATGGTGTGCAAACTCCATGTTCTCTTCATTGATGAGGCAACCTGCGTGGGAACGGTAAGGGCAAATGCATTGGTATGCATAACATAGGGTTAATGTATAGCTACATGGGGCTGATAAAAGTGTTTTTGTTTGTTTTGAGGCACCCATAATCCCCTTAAAGCACATGGCAAACGCTCATATGTATATATATAAGTAGCCATGCTCACACAGACATCGTTGTCCTTTTTTCTCGAAACCGGACATGGTCTCATCTCAACTGCTGCCAATGCTCTGAAATTCGCACAGCTAAACAGAAAGGTTTGATCCTAGCTCTCTGTCAGCCATGTTGACCGGAATTGGACAATGCTCTCACTGCCCAGCAAAAACCCTTGCCCCGGGTGGACATCAGAAGCATCAAAGTGGTCTAAGAGTCTTTATAAAGAACCATGAAACATACTAGTTATAGGTTTTCAACTTGGCCACTCTCCACCGCGAGGATCGATCTCAACTTCAAAATCTCAAGCTGCACCACCGTGAGGAGGCTCCTTGGCCTCTGACTCCGTGAGCTTCTTCTGTTTGGGCTTAGGCTTAGCACTGGCCCTTTTGACATGGGCAGCCGCAGCCTTGTAATCCTTTGTGGTTTGGCAAAGCTTTTGGGTTGCCAACGAAACAGTGTCATCATCCTTACCATCAGCCAACGCACTTTCCAGTGCAGAGCGATCAGTCTCAAGTTTATCTAGGTGAGAAGATGTGTCCAGCACCATTGCATCCACCATATGCTGAGGCCTAGGGGCCGAACTTGAGTCGCAGCTGATAAATCGAACAAAATGAATAGAATCCAAACTTTGTGACACAATACCGAATACCAAGTGATCTGCGGTTCACTACGTTGATACTTTTTAAAAAAAGCTACGGCTCACCTAGATCTGCATGAGATATATCTACATGTGTGCTAGGGCCCAGGCAACCCAGCAGCCTGAAGCTTTGCGCGCCACGATTTGCACTCAAGGATCATCTCCCCGGAAGCTTTCACTGCCTGGGCTGCGTGCGCATGCTTTTTTTGGAACATGAGTCCAAATAAAAAATCATGGAGTAGTTCATTAATGCCTTAAAGGTGATCTAAAGGCAGTCCAAATACTTTCGTTGCTTCCTGAACAGCTGTCTTTGCCTTCGGGGCTGCTTTCGCCTTGGGGCCGCCCTTTCCTCCACCGCTTTTTCCTCCACCACCCTTTCCTCCACCTTTGTTGGGTGGCTCACGTTGCCCAGCGGACGGGGTCCCTGCACCTTGCAAATGCCCCGTCGGGGCCGGGGCTGTCAAAGGTTTCGACCTCAGTACGGAGGGACCATACCTATTGTATTAGTATACACTTTTTTGTTGTATATATTATGGGCAAATATTCCACACAAGGATTCTAAGGGAGTGTTTTTGATTCTTTTTTCATCATGTTATATCGCAGCCATGCTCAGGCTTTGACATCAGATTCTTGGCTGTATTGGTGTCCACTTGGCCAGTGCTGGAAGTTCCAACTTCATTCAACCGGGCATTGCGATCAGTCTCCGTGGTAGCTTTCCAACACCAATACAACCGAAGTTCCTGGAACCCGGTGATGGATAGGGTTTGGTATTCAAATGTATTCAATATACATATATATGTGAAAAGGGAATGGGCATACCAGAAACCACACTTATATCAGTCCTCCTGATCGGGAAAGTCTGGATTGTCTTCATACTGTTTGGCAGCGGTCTTCCTGGTGATGAGGTCAGTAACTTTGAGCTCGTCCTTGTACTTCTCCATGAGATCCTAAGCCATCAGTAGACCGAACATGTACCTAGTAAGGAAACAACTTAATCTTAGATTCAATATCACACAGTTTTGTTCAATACACATTCTCTGTATTGAACAAAACTGCATCTGCATATAATAAAATGCTATTTTGAAATTAACCCTTTGAGATGAGCCACCACCTTCGACATAAGGGCCCAGCTCCCCGTACGGGAATGTTCCCGAACAGACTTATTCTGGGTGACCAGGTCGCACTTCGTCCAGTCTTCACCACACTCCACGAACATGTTGAAGAGGTTGTCCCATCCATCCAAGTCTCGGGTTGGACCTGCACATGACTGGCCCATCAAGCTTTATATTTGGTAATTGGTTAAGCTGGACCTGGTGGAGATACCATGCGCTATCTTGGACTTTCAGCATATAGTTGATTTTTCAAAATCACAACTTGGGATCCTGCTTTCCTGGAGTTCCTTCAGCTTTGTCTTGATCGCAGCAGGGCACTTGGAACCTTAGATTGCAAGGATGTAGACGGGTTGAGCTACGAACCTATGACATAGTCCTAGGCAAGATACTTTTCATGGATCGATGCCACTTTGCTTTTTTTGCCCGCAGTGCTCGAGCTGCAACTTCCGCTGGTCTGGACTCAGTAAATGTGATGAATCAAAGGAATCCCAGACCATCCGTGCATGAATTATTTTACTTGTGCATTTGGCATATTTTAAACATGATACTATCCTACATATCCCAAAGATTTTGATATGACATCGCTAGGCAGATACCATATATATATATATTGATTGCAAAGGACACTGAACATGGCACAGTTTGCGCAGTAACATTGACCGGGCATCTAAGGATGCGACATTCGGTGCAACTTCACGCTGGTCACCCCCTGCTGGAGCATCTGGCTGTGACGCAACTGGCGCCGTGGCTGCAGATGTCTTGGGAACAGATGAAGTCGGTGACGTCAAACATGCCGTTGGTGGAGTCGGGGTCAAGTCAACAGTGGTCGCACGGGTCAAAACTGCCTTCACCACACTTAAAGGACTGCTTTTTTTCTCGGGAATCTTTGCAGGGGTCAATGACTTGTTAACCATGTTTTCTGCATGAAGCCATGCTTCAAAGCCTGTAAGTTCAACTTGCAAGTCATCCGTGGATCCAAACTCATACTGAGCTTTCACGCCAGTACATCTTTTTTCAGTGTCCCGGATGTAGGCCACAAACGATGGTAAGCTGGGATTGGACCTGAACCCCTCAATTCGTTGACGAGCTTCATGATCATCCAGCTTATCCAATCGTTCCTGAATTGGGATCAATCCACCAGAAGCAATGAACCGGTCACACTCACCTGCAACAACTGGGTCAAATGTGGGGCTGCTTGCCTCCTCTTTGATCACTGGTTTCTTTTCAATCTTGAGTGGTTCCATTTTCATATCCTTGGCTGCGGGATCTGTCCATAGCAAGTTCGGGTCTGGAATGCGGGTCATTGCCTGGACATACTCGGGCACACGGGCCTCCACTGGTGGACGGGCACCTTGCACCTTCCTCACCGGGTCAGGGATTGTTGTGTCAGTACTGGTGGGTTCAGCATTGCCAGATTCACCTGCATCAGTAGCCTCTGGCCGGGGCAGGTCAGGTTCGGTTGACATGGGTTCTGGGGCACTAGCGTCACCCGCATCAGCAACAGTAGCCTCAGGTTCGGTTGACACAGGTTCTGGGGCACTAGTGCCACCTGCATCACCAGAAGTAGCCTCTGGTCGGGGTAGGTCAGGTTCCGTTGTCACAGGTTCTGGGGCACTAGCACTAGCATCACCTGCAGCATCACCAACACTAGTTTCAGATCCCTTCTTGGGCAACATGGGGTTGGTATATGCCTTGGTAACTTTGAACTTGGACCAGAACTGTGTCACTGCACGTGACGGTGTGGCCACCGGCATCTGACCACTAACGATCTTGTCCACGGACTTCTCCTGGATCAACCATTTAACACATTTATATATACATCCAGGGCTGCTTGTTAAGTTCTGCTGGCATGTAGATGCTAGCATCTCAGCAATGTGAAATGATAGTTGATGACCCATATATATATATGTATTTATATATACTTGGAACTAACAACCAAATATGTTTTTGGAGCAATCAAATCTGACAGCTAGCAGCAAGCCTCGCTCAAGGCCAGCGGTGCCGGTGGCAGATGGCCTTCGTGTGGAGCATCCTCACGAAGACCTTCAGCGCCCAGGCCTGCATCTGTAGAGCCTGAACGCATGAGCGTCGCCTGAGCCGGGGGGAATTTGGGTATATGAATCGAACATTGTACTTTTGCTTTAATCATATGGTTGGCAAAAAATAGTTCTAATCCATGATGAGGTACCGCCACGGAATCCATAACTCCAGGTGACATTTCCAGGGTTGTCTGGTGCGACAGTGACTCCACCTCATCATTGTTCCCAGTCTCACCTAGAGGGAAAATCAAACGCCATGCGTAGTCTGCACATTCATCAGAAAAATTGACATTTGGTTCAAATACGGGAAGCCTGCCTTCCATGGCATCATCGAAAAGGTCAATCAAGTTGCAACGGGCACCACTAGCTTCCGATGTCGACAATGACACATCGGTATTCGACTTGAGAAGTTTGGGGTCCGGGGTAACCTTCTCCCGGGCATCCTTCAGGGAACGTCTATATGTTTTCAAGTATATTAAAAAAGATAGTGTTGATAAACTACTACTTTCTATACATGAGCCCTGACCATATCCTTAGTCACTTGATCCTTCTTCCTTTTCGGAAGCTTCGGCATCAGATCTGCAGGAGCACCACCAGCCCTCGACAGCTTCGATCGCCGCATCACAGCTGCATTCAGAGCAGATTGCATTGCCTGGTCCGTGGAGGAAGTCTACAAAAACATGATCGCTATAAACATATGCAATATGTGAACATTTTGGCATAAAAGTGCCTGATATCCAGCTTGAAGCGCATCCCCATTGGGTTCTATGGACGGATCGCTAGACGATGCCATATCACCCAATCAAGGGGTGTTTGCGGGCTTGGATGACAAAATGCTTCCAGACATGAAGTCGTTTTCATTCTCATATCTCGTTTCGCTCTCGTTACGCTCTCGTTACGCTCTCGTTACGCATGTTCGATAAATTCGATAACCTTTAGTATTACTTATGTATTCCGATTTTTGTTTTCCGATAACCCTCGTTACGCGCTCGTTACGCGCTCGTTACGCTCTCGTCACGGTGTGACTCGGTGGGACGTGAAACTAAATCACTAGCCTGGTCCCTCCCAGCAGCAGGTACAGCAACCCAAATGTGAAAACATATTAATTGTATTTTTAATATTTGGTAATTTCACTCATGCAGATGAGGTAACCAATTATGAATTGTTGTGGCAAGCCACATCATACTACGTAGCCCACGGGCCAGGTCTGCACTACACATTTGACTTATTGAACATGTTCTGAATAGGTCAAAAGAATCTGAAATCTCAACGTCAGGGCCACCCACCTACAAAGGCAGACCTGGCTGTGGAACAAAGATACCCCTTTGTTGGGCATCTAGCAGCAGCTGTCGTAGTGGTTCCAAGTCTGCATGAGACCAATCATATGGGGCTTGCTGCATCGACTCAGGCAAGCGCACATGTACCTCTGACTGTTCTTCCTGCAAGGTGGTGGCGGTGTTTTGTCGGCCGGTTCTTGGACTGTGTTGGGAATGCAGCTGGGATCATTATGTAACTAATTGGGGTTTATATAGTGTATATATATATACACATACGAATTATCACATTATATAAGTGAGATTTTCATGGTATCCTTGAACTACATGGGAATGTTTAACCCAGGAAAATAATGATCCGATGTTGTTCTTTGAATTTGCCATGTATATACATATATAACAATTTCACATTTTTTATGCTGGTCATAGTGAAGTCTTTCTTACTCAATATTGGGCCTCCTTGTGGGAAAAATATAAATTTATTTGGTTGGGTTCGTACCAAAAAAAGTCTAAAGTTTGGACACTTGCAGATTCAGGTTTGAACACCCGATGTGTCTAGCTTTGGGATACAGAAAGAACTAAAGCATCAGCACCTTGGAAATCCTTGTGTGGTCTATTTACCTGCATCTAGTTTAGACATGGCACCAAAGTTGGTAAGCATACTCTACATCGATGGTCTGGGGCAATCCCCAAATTTATACTAGATAAGATGACTTTACCCAATTAGATGTTTCTACAAGTCCCTGCATCACCCGGTACCCCTTGCACCTGGTGGTGTTTCAAAACCCAATCCGCAAAAGACTGAGTGTATGCTTGGCTGGACTTCAAATTTTTGCCACCGCTCCTGACGAAGGACCAGCAAGGGTGAGTGGCTGGAGTTCCCCTTGGGCAACAAGAATCTTGATCTGTTTGTAATTTCAACAAACACAAGTCAACAGCTTGTAGCAGCAGCATGCAGGCCAATGACTGAGTAACCAACACTGATGATCGGTTTGACGACTTGGAAATTGTTTTCTTTACCATGCCAGTGTCACCCTTGTTCTTGATCTCCATTCGTTTGTTTGGGTCACAGCGATGATGAAGGGCATTGATCCATGACCTCATCCAACCAATACTTAATCATAATATTGGTTATCAGTAAGCAATATGAAACCTTACATGAGGAAGCAAGGATTGAAAAAGCATCGTTAAGGCCCAAACGGTGTACCCACCAGATATGACGGCTTGAAGCTGAAGTGGTCAAAGTTGCACATCCAGCTTAGTTCACAGCGGGCTTAATCATCCAACAGGATAACCTGCTGTGACAATTAATTCCAACATACAAGAAGGTTCGTTGGTAATCTGTTTGGTGTATAGCTGACACTAATGCACCAAGAGACAACCTTTTGAAAATGGCCGCGTAGTGGCGCCATACAAATTGCAGGTATGGGAAGAACACTAGTTGGCTGGAACTTGGCTGTTCTACCTTGGTTTCTACAGGTGCCATGTCGCAATCGTGACTCCAATGTAGTAGTTTGTTTTGAACATATTTATATATGCGTGTAGATAGATAGATATATATATATATAATATAGGTTGGTGTTTGCATGACAAGTCACTACGTGATGAGCATTCAACACATAGGCCACCAAACATAATAAGGCAAATCTGGCCGCAATGCGGTTGCCGAACAGCACCCATCTCTCACCTTGAAGAGCGCGTTGGGTTCCAGCCATGGGTCTGTGACCACTTGGGGGGTCATTCCGCTTAAATGTATTGACCTATTAATATATATATATATGATTAGCTAGCCCGTTTATATAAGCTGACCATATTCGAGTGGGATGATCGTTCAGGCATGTCAAAACACGAATGCAAATGAGGTTCGTTCATCACCGAGGATGGTCTTGTACCGCAAATGACCACTTGAAGACATCCATACCCAACTTAGATGGAGGACTCAAAGTCAACATCAATCAACTCACATCGAGCCAAACATGCTCATGATAAGTAATTAACAATATAACAGAAATTGTTGTAGTTCATACCAACAATCCAAGAAACGAGGAGCATGGAATACCTGCAAATAAAAGTGCCCCGGGCGATAACCGCATCGTATCCCTCAGAGCGAACAGGAATCCTTGTACTCCTAAAAAGTCATTCTCCGTCCCTCGCCCGTCGATGTCAAACCATTGCCTGGGCGCCAAGACCGGCGGCAACAGGACTTGGCATCATGGCATCCTACATCAACTCTGCAGTGTGGTGGTCAGTCGCTGGGGCGTGCACGACTTCATGTTGGCAGCCCCTTGGCCGCATTCAATGAGGTGAGAAGGTACAACATTTAATTTGTCCAAACTCAGATGCCCACTAAATGTGTTTGTGAGAACACGTTGTCCGGAAAATAGCTCCAAAAGCTGCACATCCTTGGCCATGCCATGAATTGTTGCATGGTTGAACTTATACAATACTTGTTGGAAATGATATATACTTTATGACTTATGATGATCAATCATATGAGGCACCCACTCTTTGCCAATCTTGTCCATCCCGCTCACCAACTTGTGTGACAAAATCAGCCAGGTGTATCCTGGGCCGGGCAATCTTTAGAATCCGGTACTCCTAATATGGTTTTATTAAACAACATGTTTTCAAATTAGCTGCATCATCCCGAGACAAACATGAAGCTAACCCACTTAAATTCCACTGGGGCTCAGGAGCACAGGAGCTCCGAGGAAAAGGAGGAGTTGGCACTCCCGGGCACTAAGACGGATGCCTCGCCCCTTCGCCGGCATTTCAGCTGACTACTAGTTGGCACCTTTAGGAAAACACCTGCAGTGAACCAGAGGTGAAACTGTGAAACGCATGCAAAGGTTTGCCCCACACTGTCCATGTCAAAGTTGATCAACCCCACAACGTGCATTGTGATGTGCACAGCTCTACGTACTTCCCAGACCATTTATTACCCCAGTACCATAATATTTTGTTTTCTGTGTATATATTATATATATATATGTATAAATAAATAAATATATATATATACACACACATAATAACGCAGGTCCCTTTTGGTGGTACAACAACAACGATATATTAAATATAGTCGGAGAAGAACGACCAATATTAGTTCAGGCTCACTCGTTTTCCGCTCGTTCGGATGAAACCCCAAAGTCACACTGAACATGTTGATGCCAGCGTGAAGTCAGTTTGATTTGACCAACATGCCCCTACCGTACCGGCTGCTCAAAACTGTTCTGGAAACAAAACGATGTATTAACATTATACTAAATCATGATGTTAAATGTTTTTGAACAGAGGGCGCCAACCAAGCATTCCTTTGATATGTCTAATCCCAAGCAGCCATCTTTCGGGCATGGGCAAAAGCTGTGGCCCAACCGCCCCGCTTGCCAACCGATACAGTCACTCCTCCCTTGCTGTTGGCTTTGTAGCCAGTCATGATATTGCCCTCCTCCACTTCGTTCACGTACATCTGATTGGAGAACCACCTGGGCAACAGCCGCCGTATATATATATATATATTATAAATATTTTGTGGGATGAACATATGGAATTACGTTTTTGATTTCACTGCTGTTCATTCTACAAGTAGTAGCTTCTGTACATTCATCCACTTAGTGTCCAACAGTATCTGGATACCACTGCCGGTACCATTGGGCGAATAAATTGTATAGGATTTCTTCAGCGGCTCATACCCATCAGGGATGGGAACAGAAGCTTCACGAAGCAAGGGCTCCTGGCATTCAGAAGCCATGAGTAATATTATATTAATAAATGGGATGTTGTTTGGACATCAAATTATAACGCATCTACCATATTTGATAATCACGTAGTTCAAAACAGATTTCTTTAAACCCTTTTTGGTTTCTCACCCAACCAAACCCTGAGATAGAAGATTGTTACCAAATACATTAGGACCTCTCATGTTGGTTCAACTTCCCATCCCAATTTGATGATGCCCAAAACATTTTTGAGAAACATATAGGGGGTATATCGTCTATGACCCTGTCCTTCTCAGACCGAGCATTCTTCATGACCTCTGTATCAGTCGGTTTTCGGGTCTTGCGCTCCGGCACAGGTTTGTCATCCCCACCTTCACCGCTAGGTGCCACACCACCCACAGCATCATCAGTCTTAGCATCAGCAGGTTCAGGTCCCCCAGGTTCCCCCGACTGGGCCGAGGCAGGTTGGGTTACCTTGGTTTTGGCATTGGCCTTCGCTTTGGCCTTGGCACGTGGTTTTTTCTTACCAGAATCACCTTGCTCTTCGTGCTGTCTTTTCTCACCCCGGGCAGCGGCCACCACCTAAAGGGAAACACCCACAACACAAACTTGTTAGACTTAGCTTGTTGGCACCCAAGTTAAAATAATCAAATGCAAGACCACCAATACCATTGTTTTCAAACTTTCCCTACCTTGGCCTCCGCTTTTGCAAGGTCAGCACTTGCTCCAGACCCACCGAGAAGATTGGAGGACAACTGAAGGGCCTGCTGCTCTAGGGATGTGTCCAGGTTGATGGTGGACGGGAGAAGGGGCATCCTCTCCTGCAGCAATGCAGAAGTGTGGTGCTACTGAACAAAGATGTTAAAAAACACAGACTTGAGTTGACTTTTTCCATCAATAGCATCAACATTTATTTTCATATCTTCTCCACATCAAGTCAAAACCCTGTCACTAACAATTTTCCCGCTGGCTTGCTGCCCCGTCACCCCCAATCCGGACTTGTCCTTGTAGGCTTGCCGCTTTTCAGCATCGATTGATACTGGCATAGGTTTCTCAGCCTAAAGCTCGAAGCAACAAGACTGACCCAGCAAGCGTTTAAAGTTTAAACTGTTTTTTGTTGGGTTCGCGCTCGGGGTTGGCAAGGGAACCCACTGTTTAAGTTGATAGATAAATATATTTATATAAGTGCATTGTTTATATAACAATGATATATATATATCGATACATACATACATACATACATACGTACGTACGTACATACATACATACATACACATACATACACATACATACAAACACATACATACACATACATACACATACATACACATACATACACATACATACACATACATATACATACATTTACATACATATACATACACGCATACATATGTTATAATTTGTTCAAGAGGATCCGGCTCACAATCTGAGTGGCTAACATCAGGAACACCCGTCTCATTGGTCTTGGCCTTCAACGCCTGCAAAGAAACTTGTTTAGCGTTTGTAATATGTCATATCTCAATATGAGGTGCGCTGTTTCTGTTCCAAAATGAAAGGTTTACAGCAAAAAAGAGAAAACTTCATTTTGGAGGGTTTCATTTGCATTACATCTAACTATCAATCATGAAAGTACATCTTACATACCTCAATGATGAAGGAAAGAGTGTTGTTTATGCACGAAAGATTTCCAAACAGCACCATTCAAACAGCTGCCTCGCAACTGGTCCCCATCTCCGCTGCCACAACCTCCAACGCCGTGTCTACCTGTTTGGGTCTTGGCATCAACATGAAAATCTTGAACCATCAAGTCCAAAGCCGAAGGATCTACATGGGATCAACTTGAAACAGTACACCACTGTATGTCTCAGAGATGGACCTTGGCAGCATCGGATGCAACTTCCACAACCTGTGCGCGGGGCAGATGGTATCACAACCAAACATGGGGTGATGAATATGGCAAGAATATGGCAAGATTGAATAGGGTGTATATTGTTTTTAAAATATATTTTTATGATATATATATATATATAGATGTGTATTTATTTATTTAAAGTATACAATAAACACACATCATAAATCATTAGTGGTTGGTTCATGGGTGTAGGACATATTTTGTGTCGAGATATCGACATTTAGGATGGTGGATGCTGGTGCTGTTTTTTAATGCAAGTGGGCCTTGCCTGGTCACTGCTCTGCGATGAATCAGAACTCGTTGAACTCGACGCGTCGCCAACTGCTGCAACCTGCATCATGCAAAAATATATATATATATAAACAGATATTTGGTCAAACATTAAAACAGATCGAAAGGAAGGAAAAGCAACATGATGCATGGTAAAAGGTTCAATGCACCTCCGGCATTGCTTGTGGGTCAGCTTCACCAGCCAGAGCTTGAACTGGCAAACACAGACATGCTTAAGGCTTAAACTTAAACCAAACAACTTTAGTCTGAAATGCAAAATGTCGAACACCTGACCGTAACACAGACTAGTGACTAGATTTGCCTGCTTGAAGAGCTTCCTGCACACACTGCTTGATGAGGCGGATTTGCCAACTCCTCACAAATTTTTGAATGTTGAAACAGCTTGGAATCCTGGAAACCACCACAACGACAGCGACAGCACCTTGACGATGCGGCACGCGAAGACAAAGTCAGCGCATGCTGACCCAAACCACGGGCAAAGCCACCCTGGGTGGACGCCCACGCCTGTAAGACCAATAGTGAACCCAATGTGAACTAGGCCCCACTTCAATTAAGAACAAGTGATATAAAAAAAACACGCCTTGATTGTCCGCTTCGTTGTCCCCTCTGAGAAGATACCGTAGCGAGTGGCAACGTCGTACCAAATTGCCTACGGGCAAAAAAAACATATTGACAAAAAATATCTATATATGACTTGACTGATTGTCACACACACACACACTGTGCACTAAACCTGCCTTAAACTTTTTGTGTCGTGGCCATGGGTCCGCACCAGAAAGCGTAGCACACAATTCCAGGACAAAAGTGAAGTTTTGCTCCAGAGCCTGTGCACAGTCAGGCCCACCACAGTCATCTAGGTTGAAAAAGTCCTTGGTCTTGCTGTTCCGAAGCTTGTGCAAGTCCACGTGCTGGATCACATAGGTGTGCACCATTTCCTGCGGAAAACAGCACCAGCAGCTCATCACACATATTTACTTCAGTGGGTTCATACATATATATATATTTATATCATATAGTATTTTTGTTTCAATATATATATATATATAAAAAGGCGCATATATATATATGTATCAATATGTAAAGTACTGAAACATATCTACCATATGCTTCAGTCCTCCAACATCGACTCATAGGCTTCAGGGCCAAGCTTAAGGGCTCCAGCCTGAGTTTTGAATGCTGCACTTGAAATCTAACTGGTCAGATAGGTTTTCCCGTGCAAGTGCATGTTGGGGTGTCTTCCCAAAATCAAAGCCACCAAATCCGATGATCTTGAAGAAGGTAGATGCATCAAAAAAATGGCACCACCATTTGGGGAAAGCCAAAGTTGATCTTGATAGAAAACTGGGGTTCTAGCTGCTTCGTCTGCCATGGTTCCCCCAGGAGACCAACGACGCTGCTTTGCAGATTTGAGCAACTAAAACCGCTCGGTGAAAGAAATGCCCGGCTGCAAAATTTTGATTTCAAAACTCAAACCCCATTGAATGGCTATTGCACCCCAAAACAATTGATATTACATGCTATTTTAATTTGTCAATGGGGTTTTAGGATTGCAGATCAAACATCCACCGGTTCCAGGCCAGTGCGGAGACATGCCAGGATCAGCAATTCTCATACCCCACAAACTGACCAAGTAGAGAAGCCCATATATATATATTATAATTTCATGTGGGTAAGTTACTCCATTTGGATAAGTTGGTGGGGTTTGTGAGTTGCTGATCCGCAAAGGGGTGCACAGAGGGCGCACCTTCACCATGGGATGTTTTCCTACGTGAAGAAGCTGATGTACCCCATTGGCCTCGGATGTACGGAGAACAAAAAAGTAAAAAATCTAAAGGTGATAATATAAAGATAACCAAGCACGACGTCAAAGCATATCTCGGGGAACGGCTTGAAATGGCAGCTCGCTTCATGGAGCCATGATGGACCTGGGCCATGAAGACAAGCCCTTAATCTTAAGGATTGAACAGTAAACAACGTTGCAGAGTGGTATTCGAGGTCCAGACAACCCATCTCGATGTTCGCTACCAGGCTGCATGATATGAAATGGCTGCAACAGCAACAAATTCGACAATCGATTTTCGATAAATACCGTCCGTAGGCCCTGGGAACCTACATACCATCCGTAAGCTCCAGGAACATACATCCATCCGTAGGCAAATATTCCATACAAGGATTCTTAGGGATTCTATGCCATACATTGTTATAGGTCACTGAACGTTTGGTTTGATGATGATCCCATTTGGCAAGGTGAAGTAATGGGTTCCTATGGTTGTTTGATGCCTGCAGGTTTCCATAGCAATTCCTCTAGCATTACATAAGACGTAACAACACCTCTTTTTGGAAACTCTTTGATGTGGTCGTGGATTTGCTTGTTTTGGGATCCCTCTAGCTTATTGTTTGCCGGAATGTGGCTTTAATATGTTTAAAAATGCGTAAATCATTACTGGGATGATTGAAGGTAAAATCCACACTGATTTTGGGACATCGCCAGCATTATCAGCACTTCCATGAAAGAGCGCGGGGTTTCTCTCAAATCGGTATCTTTATCAGCCTTCAACCAGCAAACAACTAAGAATATGCTAAACCCAAATGTTCAAAACAAAAAACACAATTTTGGTTTATCATTGGGTATACCCATTGTTTAGTTTTTATTTTGGCATAGTCCGCTTCCTTGGTTGGCTTTCATGGGATAGGAGTGGAACGACGAACATCCGGAACGTGAAGTTCATGTGGGCGACCGCATTGTGGCGGCTGTTCCTTGGAAAATGGCGGCGGTTCCTTGGGGCCAAGTAGGTTGATATCGAGGCCAAAAAAATAGTAGGTTGATATAGTAGGCTCATATTTTTTGAAGAATGATTGCCAACAAAAACTGGTGGTGAGATATACTTTTGAGATGTGTGTTGAGGCTGGGTATGTTCGATGGCAGAGATATGACTCAAATGTTCAGACTTTCACCTTTTTTTTGCTGCCATTTCTAGGTCCAAAAATACCCATTGGTGCAAGGTGCTGCCCCTGGAATCGCCAAGCTGGTGAACATAACTCCAATAACTCTTGGGTTTATGGTTTATGGTAGGTATATCTCTATACTTAACGGCGTAAATGTATAAGCCAACTACAATGAGTATATCTACCGTATCTATAGTTTCCACAGTAAAATCGATTTCGAAGTAGTATGGTGTTTAAATCAACTATAGTTATCAATATTTAAATACCGCTAGTTACCATATCTATAGTTACGAATATCTATAAGTTGGTTTATTTATTGTGTTCCTACAAGGTGGTATCCTTCCCAGTTTTAAATCGGTTATATTCCCATTAACGATAGTTTTAGGTACCATAAACCATAGTCCATAGTTATTGGAGTTATAAACCAACCTAGCTAACTATGGGGGCACCACCTTGTATGGTTAATAAACCAACAAATATCACCGGAGGTCAGTTTACCCGTGAGCTCAGGTGGCGCGCCGGAGCTCCGTAAAAGAGGGCCACAGCGACGGCGTGCGGATGCCGAGGGGCTGCTTTAACCCCCAAGAAAAGATAGAAAGGTAAACGAAAATTTAACATGATGGTAATTTGATTGTTTTTGTTTTGTTGTTTTTTCTGTTTTAT